AGAACAAAAGCATGCAAGGGAAGCAGAAACACATACACTTGCACAGATGCTTGTGTACACAGAACACAATTCAACCAAACCACAGGAGAATGAGAACATAGGGGGGAAAAAAAGAAAAAGAAAGAATAAAGCAATGCAGCTTCTGCCTGAATGCAGATTAACTCTGAGGTCAAAGTGGAAATGATGCACACTGCTGCAGCACAGATTAACACATGCGTGGTGTCAGCCAGGGTGCTTTTTAACCTTTGATTATACATATGCAGGCAGCCCAGGTCTTCATTTTGGAGGCAAGGAGGATTTGGCAAGCACAAAAAGAGAGGTCGGGAGGAAAAGCTTCCCTTACGCTGATGAGCATCCTCATTTTTTCTAAACAGTCTGGAAATCATGATTGCAAAGGGGAAAAAATAAAAGGATGGATCGGGGGGGAGTGGAAGAGGGAGGGATGGTTGTTGCTAAGTAACTCAGGAAATGGGAAAAGCAGCATTGGTGGAATCACTATGAATGAGGTGGTTAAGTGTGTGATAGGATTAGGGAGAATTTACTAGGATATCATTTGCCCTCCCCTCAATAAAATCAGACCAGACAAGATGCAGCAAATACTCTAAACCTGAGGAAAAATAGGTGTGTGTAAAATCTGGGCTGTGCCTGATCCTTCTACTCCTTGTCCCCAGCATTTCACATTCCACTCTCCAAAGAGAAAAGTCCACTTGCTCTCATTGATACACAAAAATTGGGACCCCAGTGCTTACCACTGCAAGAACAGCACCTGGAATCTGTCAGAGACTCATATGCTTTTCCCTCCAAATTTCACTGCCTAAAGACAGAACACATCTGGAGGCCTTAACTGTCTCCCCAACCATCCTCAAACTGATGGATCACAGTGCAGAAGTGAAAACCTGGATGTGGCATAGGTACTCAATGGGTGTCTTTTTCCTTTGGGGCCCCCTTATTCAATGCTTACTGCCAGAATAAATGAATAGATATTGCTCAATGGAGAACAAATGAGATGTTCCAAATAGAACAAACACTTCAGGTCTTCATGACCTACAAGTGCAGCAAATACAGTTTTCCCTTGTCTATGAAAAGGAGACAGCGGCACTTCCTAGTACAACAAACCCTCAGAAACTCAGACTGATATCCTACTGGATGAAGCCAGTTTTTGCTTTCAAACTGCATAAATGTGACCCTATAAATAGGCAAGCAAGGTTCTTGGGGTAGATGTGATATCCAAAGAACCTTGCCTGCCTATGTCTGTAAACCAACACGGCTACATCCAAAAATCCTATAAATAGGGAACAAGTCTAACCACTTTTCATTCAGGTGGAATAGCTTGACCCAGGTGTAAATATTCAGTCTGGGTTTCTTCAGAACTATCAACTCTCCAGCACCAAAAAGGTCTCTAGTACAGAAATGAAACTCTTAAGTTGATGAGTTTACCAGTGAATATTACATCAGTTGTTTTACATTTTGTGTGTATTTTGTCACAATCTTATCATATTTTTGCTATGGCACCATTACATAAACATATATTAAAATGCTTAAAGACTATTCTTCAAATTAAAATTAGAACCTAGAAGTGACTATAATCTTTGAATTATTTTTAGGGTTACATTTTTCACCTGATCATATTTGTATTTGTGAAAATTGAACTGGAGCTACAAGTAGTCTGCTTCCTATTCTTTGATTTGATAGTTCAGGTCACTTAGACATCACAGTACTTGGTCACACCATAAAGCTGATATACAAATGTCCAAGATATAGCAGTGTGGGTACATGTTGTTAGGAATACAAAACTTCTCCTGCAGTTACCTAATTGTATACATGAAAATCTGGCTTTTATTGAACAGCTGGCTTTTGTAGTCTTTTTAATATACTTTTCCCTGGGTATATAGAATTTTTTTCAACAAGCATCTATGTATATTTGTACTAAGTAGGAAGAAATGTTTAGCAACCTGTTTTCTACTGGTACACATTTTATCAAATAGGCATCTGTTTTTTTTCTGGCTGACACGCTTGAATCAAACTATGATGTTTTAAATAACCAATTCAAACTATACTGAATGAGAACAAAGGGTCAAATTTAAGCCAGCTATGACTTAGTAGCTTATTCTGTGTATGTTAAATTTCTTTATGTGAAAATTAAAATCTGTCCATTTTTAACCTGACATTAAGAATTTTAAGTGCAAATGCAATGATTTCACAATCTATGACCAACAATTTTTAGTGCAAAGCACCTTTCTGAACATGAAGTATAATAATTATTCCTGCCAAAAAATATGTATTCAAAGTTAAACCCCTTGGGTTAAATTAAAGGTAACATTCTCAAAAGTACTTATAAAGGACATAGAAGCCTAAGTTCATTTACTAAATATCTGAACAAATTAAGCACAAATTAGACACTTCTGAGTAGGGATCTACCTAATTCATGGGGGCTGACCCCTGATTTCACAATCTGAGTACAGCACTGGTAGCCATTTTCATGGCACACTGTGGTGCCCCCCCACCCTATGCGTCTGATTGGCCGAGGGGCCCCAGAAGTCCTGCTCCTCCTCAGAGACTGACAGGTGGCTATCTGTCAATCTCAGGGGAGGGGTGAGACTTCTGGGGCCCCTCAACCAATCAGTGGTGTGGGGGCCCTCCTGCCCCTCACCAGATGGCCATCTGTCAATCTCCAGGGAAGGGTGGGACTTCCAGGGCCCCTTGACCAATCAGAGGTATGGTGGGGGGCTCACCATGCTCCAACATGAAAATCTCCCTCCCCCATCCCACTTCACCATGAAAGTTTCTCCACCTTTCCCTTTTGCTCCCCCCACCTTGTGCTTCAGGACACCAGGGCTTCCCACCTCTCTTGGCAGCTCCCTTCCCCCACCCCATTTACTGGCCATTTTGCAGCCTTTTCATAGGGAACCGGCTTTTTCATAGAGGGCTTACCAATTTTGCAGTTTCCATGAAAATCACAAAATTGTGAATTTAGTAGGTCCTTACTTATAAACTCAAATCTCATTGGTTTTGAGAACTTTTTAAGATCTCTGGCAATGTTGTATTTTGCAATTAAAGGCTTTGTTTGTTTGTCAAACTGGTAAAAGTAAAGTTTCTTCAGCAATAGCCTACTGAATAAATTCACAATCTATCCAGTGAATGGAGTTCTAAGTGAGGCCAGTACTCATCATATGCCCCAAGCCCAGCCCCCTTGCATTCATGTAACCTTGTCTCCTATACCCAGGGCCCAGATGCTATTGATTTCACCATTAACTGCCTGCCCTTTTCTAGCTTCTGGCTCAGCTCACCTGGGCAGCTACTATAGTTTGCTACTTTGCCCTCAGGCTTCCCACACTCCCCTCTCTCCCTAATAACAGGGGCAAGGGTTCCTCATTCCATACAAGAGATACTTCTCATTCTTTTCATTTAGTTCTTGGCAGCATTTAAATAAGGTGAGTGCTACTGCCCAAAACGTCCACTGGGTTTTCAGAATAACTTCCTAAGACTTTATTTAGAAACAAGCAAAGACAATATAATATATAAGGATTTGTGGTTACAAAATCGACCAGTAGTAGAAATTGTTTTCCTGTATACCTTATGATTAGCTACAGAGCTCATAATCTGTTGTGGTATTTTATGTTGTTCCTATACTATGATTGAAAGGTGGTAGAAATATGCAGTTGTTAATTCTTTGGCCTCACACTTGTTCTTTCTGTTGCCTGCCTCTACTCACCTCCATTTCTCCTCTGCTACTCCAGGGAGTATCTGCAGAAATGAATTCCAATGCTGAATAGAGCCCTTTCATGGCCTCCAGGTTTGTGCCCTCCCACTCAAACAGTTCTTTAAACTCTATATATCTGTGAAACCATGAAGGACAGAGTCTGGGTAATAATGAATAACTTTCAACCACATATATTTTAATGGGCCCTTTTTATTGTTGAAAGTTGTAATGTTGATTCTTTGCCCCTAAAGGCATAGAAATTATGTTGTGAAGATTCTGTCTATTTAGAGATACCAGGAAAAAGTATTTAAAAAAAAAATCCCTAAATCTGTGGCAGTGACCAAATTCTTCAGGCTTAAATGATAACAACTTTTTGACATTTGGTATAACTCATTAATTTTAGTGATGCTGTGTCAATTTTCACCAGGTGAGGATTTCACCCCATATATATTACAATAACTACCCATAATAATAATAAAAATATAACTAGTTCAGACTTTGACAAGAAAAAAGCAAAGTTTTATTTTTCTTTCTAAATACTGTGTAAGTGTAATCATGCCACTGCATATATAAATCAGATGCTTACTGTTGACACTGTATTTGGACCCGGCACCTATACCTTTGTTCCGGGTAGGCACAACCCTCAGACTGATCACAATACCTGCCAGTTGATAATAAGCTAATTTATTGATACAGAGTAAGATTTAAAAAAAAAAACAACAATACAAACAATCAAACAATTCTATATCTACCAATCCTAGGGATGTCATCAGAGTCAATGTACAACTGGTCAGGATGCAGATTCCACTCTGAGGCTCTCTCTTTCTAAGGTGTCAGAAGTCTGGAGGTGGGATGTCGAGGCCTACAGCCCCCTTCCACTGGATGAGAAGGGCTGCTGGTATGCCCTTGGTCCATGGTGGTCTCAGAGACCCTTCCCAGGGGGCAGGGATGGGAATGGGGATGGGGACCCCTCTCAGAGAGCAAAATGGAGAGGAAAGGGACAAAGGGAAGGACAAGAAGGAACAGGGAGGGG